CCGTGCTTGATTCAAAAATCGTATGACTCATACAGCAATCGCTATCACTTGACTTGAAATATTTTTACCCTAGCTTGCCTTTAAAGGAGCGCCCTTTGCCGTGTTGATGTTGATACATGCCTTACTTCTTGCCTATCTCACACTGCAACTTTTTTCTAAGCTCTATACTAAACATTAAATCTGTTACGAAAAAAGAACTAAACAAAATGAACACAAAACGATCAGCTTTAAAAAAGGACTCGTAACTGGAAAAACCGAATGAAAAAAGAATGTTAACAACAAATACTTTTTCACACCCAACCCAGTTCTGCGGAATCAGAATCAACGTTGAATTTAAGCAAGCGAATGAGCCAATTGGAGTAAAGTGCCATGCAGATTTAAATTTTTCCCACTTGTGACGAATGCAGCTATCGATTTTTTTTTGCATGCTAGCATGCTAGTTAACATTCGTGTTAGTCAGCTGTTGGCTCTCACGCTGGCCAATAGAATCTTCCTGCCTATTCGTGGCAGCCATCTATTGGCTCTCACTCTGGCCAGTAGAAAATTTCCACAAACTACATGAAATTGCCGTAGAAGCATGAAAAAATCAATTATTCTAAACAAAATGTCTTCAAGTATTGATTAATAATTTATGGGACCGATGGGAGTTGGGAAATGCAAAGTCGGTCTTGGCCTTCCCGCTAACTTGGAGCATGTGCATGTAAATTTTGGTGCAAATCCGTCGAAAATTGCAGCCGTGCATTCGTTACACACACACACACACACACACACACATCCTGCCTTTTATAGATAGAGATTATAAGAAATTTTAAGGGGAGATATTAAAGGAACGAGTGATATAAGTATTACTAATTAACCCATAACAGGAATAAAAACAGTTGAACTCGTGCCTTTCCTAAGGGTATTTGAATGTAAGAGAATATAAAGAACCGAACTGGAATTCGAACTCGGCTCTCTGATTAATAATTTCAAGCCATTATCTATTACACTACTTATACGTCCAAGCTTACAGCATCTGGTATCCCCAAGGGGTCACCCATCTATGTACTGACCAGGTTTGACGTTTCTAAACTTTTTAGATCGTAGGAGGGCCGATGTTTCAACGACATGTGGCCGTAATCCCTCGCGTCCTGGGATATCTTGCTTTGTTGTTATTTTAGTATTGCTCAGTTATTGCTCGCGCAGTACCAACTGAAACCAATTAAACATTGCCCTGCCCAGGGATTGAACTCACAATTATGCAATCAAATTCATGAACCTACTCTTCAAACCAGTAGGTTATTATCCTGTGAAGGTTACCCGGATCAACATGCACCTGATGAAGGCCGGAGATCACAACGACCGAAACGTTGTGATAATAACAACAAAGATTAGGACAATAGTTCGTGTGTATATAATGTAAATAATGATAATTCCTCACCCCCAAAATTCAGAAAAGGGACAAGGAGTTGTGTAAGACCATGGTCGCCTACGATGCTTCTCTTTTATATGCCGTATTCCTTCTATACGTTAGCGATCATGGCTCTCCACAATTACCTGTCATTTGTTGCTTTTAATAAATTTTGTTTGTTTTTTTTTTTTTTGCTATCTCCCCTAAACTTTGTTCTGCGATTTATTTACTCAAGTTCATTGTTTTCCTGTGTCCCTCTTGCTTCAATCTGTCTTGTGAGTATCAAATTTGCCAACCCCTCTTTCCTCATTATGTGCCATAGATATTGTAATTGTCAATTTCTAATATTAAACATAAATGTTCTTATTGTTTTCATTTTATCCAAAACTTAATCTAGCGTTGCTCACAAATTTAGTCCATGGTATTCTCAGCATCCTTCTGTAGAACCACATTTCTGTTGCGACGAGTCTCTTCTCCATTTTCATCTTTGGGGACACTGACCAGCATTTACCGTCATATACGAGAACCGCTATTACGGGAATAAATTATTTTCATTTTTAAACTTTCGTTCTCCTGAGTGTGAAATATTTTGTCGTGCTACGGTTGTTTTCTTCGCAAATTCTGTCTTTGCATTTCGACTGATACACGACGTTTTCTTCTGTCCTCTGGTGAGACTGTTTATATCTAAAGTGATCAAAATCTGCGACGGGCCTTCCGCCTTCCGCTTAAGAATCTGCTCCTTACTTCTCCCGTTGGTCATATAACGTTCGGAATGTCTACCGTCCTGGGTGTGGCAATGAACTACATCCGCGTCCTGGCAAGGCCTCTTATCAGTAGTTTTTGAGGAACGTGAAAACAACTCTTAATTGCTGGTGTTCCTAGGTCCACCCTGACCCGGGGTGGTAACACCTGTTCAAATCACGGTAAATACTTAACCCCATCACTAAACTTGGGTCAAAACGTGTAAAAATAGGTTTCAATACTAGCAAAAAAAATTATTAGCAGCAATACATTTTTTAAAAAATAAGTATTACCAGTTACCATTTAAAAAAACATTTTTAAAAAATTATTGCTAGCTATATATCTTTTGAAAAATATTACCAACAATACATATTTGAAGGAAAATTATTAGCAGAAATAGATTTATGAAGAAAAAATATTACCAGAAATAGATTTTTTGAAGAAAAAATATTACCAGAAATAGTTTTTTGAAGAAAAAATATTATGAAAAATAGATTTTTTGAAGGAAAAAATATTACCAGAAATAGATTTTTGAAGAAAAAATATTATCAGAAATAGATTTTTTTGAAGGAAAAAATATTACCAGAAATAGATTTTTTGAAGAAAAAATATTACCAGAAATAGATTTTTTGAAGAAAAAATATTATCAGAAATAGATTTTTTGAAGAAAAAATATTACCAGAAATAGAGTTTTGAAGAAAAAATATTATCAGAAATAGATTTTTTGAAGAAAAAATATTATCAGAAATAGATTTTTTAGAAGGAAAAAATATTACCAGAAATAGATTTTTTGAAGAAAAAATATTACCAGAAATAGATTTTTTGAAGAAAAAATATTATCAGAAATAGATTTTTTTGAAGGAAAAAATATTACCAGAAATAGTTTTGAAAAAAAATATTACCAACAATAAAAATTTTGTCGGCATTAAATAACCCATTGAGGTTGATATACCGTAAAAAAAAACAAACCAAATGAAACAAAGCAGAATCTCCGTAAGACATCATTTAAATATAAAATTAGTTTTTTGGGGTTTTTTTTTCCTTTTGAATTTCTTTGTGATTAATAGACACGCGGGGAGATAGGCAAGCTGAGATAATGTCGACCGAGTTATTGATCTGGAAAGAGCACAAGGAATTGCAATTTTCAGCTAAATCATCTGAAACAGTCACTTTCTCTCTCTTTCTCTCTCTCTCTCTCTCTCTCTCTCTCACACACACACACACACACTCTTTCTCTTTCTCTATCTTTTTTCTCTCTCTCTCTTTATCTCTATCTATCTCTCTTTCTCTTTCTCTCTTTCAACATAAGTAAATTGATATGTCTATATACTAATGGTAGAAAACAGTAATTATTTCCCACTACTGATTATTTATTTTCCAACATAATCTCTTTTTACCAATTCAGTGGGGAATATGAAACATATACACTGAACATTAGACAATGAATTATCAGCGTCAAATTCAGCTAATAACTCGCTGTTTCCCTCTACTTCTCCTTATTTCAATTTGTTCCGCGCATCTAAAAGACCCCAGACCGTTATTCCTCATGTTAATTGTGTCTTTCTGAATGTATGTATTACTTTTCTGTAATTCCTATTTTTCTCAATACTACCTCGTCGATCACATGTTTTGTCCATGCTATTCTCACCATTCAGCAATATTATGTGTCTAACGACATTTTCCTACTAATTATTACTTTACTTAACTTCGGGAGGATACAATTTGTTATTCTTATTCGGACTTATGAGTCACAGTTCCCATCACTCAAGCAAATTAAACGACACACTACAATTTGTATTTTTTTTTTCAAAATGTTTTTTTTTTCTCAAATTTCCATGTTGTCCAGACTTTCGTGTGATGGCAGAGCGTGTTGGCTTTCTTCTTTGGAACACCTCAGTCCATCCGCTTCTGGCCATTGGCGCCCTGTCTTGAGACATGCAATACCCTGGAATACCGGGCCTGCCAGATGTTTTTGAATATATTACCGCTAAGTGCCCTGCGATTATTTCTAACAATATTGCCACCTGCCACTGGCCTTCATCTATGTTCTGTGTCCCTTCACAACTTTGGCGATCATGGCTCTCCACGCTATCCGTTGTTTTTATCTGTAGCTCATGCCTTCAATTTGTCCTGTGTATATCAAATTCTCCAAACCTTCTTTTCTCATTATGCACCCTAGACATTTCAACTGTATTTTCCTGATGTTAATGAAAAGTGTCCTTTTTATTTCCATTTTCTTTAAAATTCGTCGTTTTTTGACAAGCTGCAAGTGATTTCTTCATCTGCGAGGCGATTCTACAGCGTTCGCTGCCATAAAGGAGAGACAGTATGACATAAAAATTAAGTAATCTTTTCTTTATTTCTAATGGACTTTTCCTTTTTCTTAATCCTTTGCTTAGCTTTTAAAAGGCACCTTTCCCTCTTCCAATGAATAGCAAAAGATGCCCTTAGACTCCAATGTCGTGTTTTGTATTTGGGATATTTAGACTAACGTATAATTTTTAAATTTAGGATATTTTGGCAGAAATTTTACTTGTTAAAAAAATAAACATTTTATGTCTAATACAATTTTGATCGTTTTTTTTTTTTTTTGTAATATGAATTTAAATTGATCAGAAAATCAAAATGAACTGAAAAGATAGAAGCCGGAATAGAGTTCCGCAAGCAAAAAGTGCGAGAGAAGAAACTGTTAGCATAGAACTTACGGTTACATCTAGCAATTTAAACTGTAAAATGATGAAACCTAGATGCCAAACTAAAACTGCGCTTAAATACGTAATAATGGTGGCAGTTGAGTTTTGTTTAATTTCACAATGATGATTAATAATACTTGATAATGGCTTGATTGCTCTGACATACATAGATCTTGTCATAGATAGATAGATAGAGATAGAGAGAGAGATAGATAATGAACAAACATAGAGAGAGAGGGAGATAATGAACAAACTGACATAGATAAATAGATAAATAGAGAGAGATAGATAATGAACAAACTAACATAGAGAGAGAGAGGGAGATAATGAACAAAATGACATAGATAGATAGATAGATAGATAGATGCAGTGTTTGAATATTTGGTAGAGTTCCTTCGTTCTTAATCTGTGGTTGTCAGTCCAGGAGAAAAAGAGTGATCCCCGCTAAGACCTACTTAGCGGTTGTGCATAGCAGGCACTTTACATATATATGAACGTATTTGGTGCCATGCATGATATCCATGAAAAAATCCCGATGTGCTATTTGAGAACATAATGTGAGTTTTAATGTTAATATTTCGGTTATGTAGTAACTTGTGGTGTTGGGCGAAACTGCACCTACCGTGTTCTACGTTCAATTATCTTATTTTCTATACTAATTTTGTTACAACTGATTCATACCACGATATATTTAATGTGTTTAATATTTGCGAATTCCACACGCGGAAGATAGATAGATAGATAGATAGATAGATAGATAGATAGATAGATAGATAGATAGATAGATAGATTATAAACAACCTGATTAGATAGAGATAGAGAGAGAGAGAGAGAGATGGATAAACACTGAGATAGATAATGAACAAACTGACATAGATACATAATGAACAAACTGACATAGATAGATAGATAGATAGATAGATAGATAGATAGATAGATAATTAACAACTTGATTAGATAGATAGATAGATAGATAGATAGATAGATAGATAGATAATGAACAACGTGATTAGATAGATAGATAGATAGATAGATAGATAATGAACAACTTGATTAGATAGATAGATAGATAGATAGATAGATAGATAGATAAATAGATAGATAGATAGATAATGAACAACTTGATTAGATAGATAGATAGATAGATAATGAACAACTTGATTAGATAGATATATAGATAGATAGATAGATAATGAACAACGTGATTAGATAGATAGATAGATAGATAGATAGATAGATAGATAATGAACAACTTGATTAGATAGATAGATAGATAGATAGATAGATAGATAGATAGATAATGAACAACTTGATTAGATAGATAGATAGATAGATAGATAGATAGATAGATAGATAATGAACAACTTGATTAGATAGATAGATAGATAGATAGATAGATAGATAGATAGATAGATAGATAGATATTGACTGGGATATACACAGGTTCTGTTGCACATAACTTACACTCATTCTGCTCGTAATGATTTATTCTAACAAAAAATAGCTGCTTGCTTTGCGCTGGTGACATGGAACTCGTTCAGGAATCAGATGAAAAAATGTACCTTGAAACATAAACTACGTCGCAATTCCATGTGGACATAGATAGATAATGAACAGCCTGATTAAATAGATAGATAGATAGATAGATAGATAGATAGATAGATAGATAGATAGATAGATACATACATACATACATACATACATACTTCTGAAGATAAGATAAAGATTTTTACATTAGATATGACTATTATATGCAATATTAAATCAAAATTAAACAAATATTGTAATTTAAAGATTATTCGATTTGCTTTCGTTTCGCTTTGTTTTGTTTCTTTTTTCACTGCATGTCTGGACAAAAATTTTTTAAGACCAACAAATAAAAAAAAATAATTAACGGAAGCAGTTTTTTCCTTAATGGGAAATGTCCGGATGCACCAGATGCTTCCTGTTAACGGAAGTGCCACCATTGAGTGTGATCAACCATTTCCGGTGCAGGAACCCGCCCTCAATAACAGAATGTGAAGATGAGCGCTCAAATTTAGTCTTTCACATTAAACAAACCATTTTGCTTATTTTTTGTTTGCATTTTTTGTTTTTTACATGTTGATCATTATCAATCATAAAGTACAGAATAATGTCGCTAAGGGTTTTTCGACGTTTTTTTTTTTTTTTTTTTGTTTTCAATTATTCTTTGCTGAAACCGGAACGCTATGTGGCTCAAGTGTTACAGACGATTTTATTTTGTATTTTGTATGTCCTGTTTTTGCTTTTTTTTCATTCGTATTCTTTCATTTTATTCTTGAACTGAACGGACGGGAATTTTCATTGAACTGGGAGAATTGAAAATAATTAAAATCATTTGCAAGCGATACAGATGTTAATGAAAAACAGACACAGATGTCAATGAAAGTGATACAGATATAAAAGAAAAACTGATACAGATGTCAAAGTGATATAGATGTTAATGAAAAACTGAAATGGATGCCAATGAAAGTAATACATATGTTAACGAAAAACAAGTACAAATGTCAATGAAAGTGATACTGATGTTAATGAAAAACTGATACAGATGTCAATGAAAGTGATATAGATGTCAATGAAAAAATGATATAGATGTCATTGAAAGTGATGCGGATGTTAATGAAAAACTGCTACAGATGTCAATGAAAGTGATGCAGATGTTAATGAAAAACTGCTACAGATGTCAATGAAAGTGATGCAGATGTTAATGAAAAACTGCTACAGATGTCAAAGAAAGTGATGCAGATGTTAATGAAAAACTGCTACAGATGTCAATGAAAGTGATGCAGATGTTAATGAAAAACTGCTACAGATGTCAATGAAAGTGATGCAGATGTTAATGAAAAACTGCTACAGATGTCAAAAGAAAGTGATGCAGATGTTAATGAAAACTGCTACAGATGTCAATGAAAGTGATGCAGATGTTAATGAAAAACTGCTACAGATGTCAATGAAAGTGATGCAGATGTTAATGAAAAACTGCTACAGATGTCAAAGAAAGTGATGCAGATGTTAATGAAAAACTGCTACAGATGTCAATGAAAGTGCTATAGATATTAATGAAAAACAGATACAGATGTCTATGAAAGCTATATAGATGTTAATGATAAACTGATACAGATATCAATGAAAGTTGTTAATAAAAAAAAAACTACTTTCCAAATAGATTCATCTACTCACAATATCGTCTACAAAAATAAATAGCAAATTTAATACTTAAAACCCTGTATTTTCTGTTTTTTCAAAAAAAAAATGCTACATCCTTTAACTTTATATATCGTACCCATGAATAAATCTTACATTTTATGATAATCTCTATAAATCATTGTGGGAGTTGAAATAGATTTCCTTCTTGGCTGCTCGGTCAATGAATACTTAATGTTTCCTTGTAAAGGAACACCTAATATTCACATTGCCACCTTTTTGGCTGATTTTATTGCTACCAAAATGTTGTCTTCGATCAATTCTTTAGCCTTTTTCAGATTATATACCTGAAGATAGGAGATATAGGTCCAATAGTTCGAAAAACTGTTCAGTAGTTCAATATTCCAAACAACATTTTTTTAATCAATTCACCCCAAGCAAGGCAATAACGCCACTAAGATGCAAGGAGCTACTGGAAGTGAAAGAGAAGGATAACACTTTAGAAGGAACGAGAAAACTTATACCGTCCTGGGTATGAAGATAAACCACATTCGACAGTAAGGAAGGTTTTAAGGATCGTGTAACCACATCTTAATTGCTTTTGTTCCCAGGTCTACCCAGACCCGGAGTGGTAGCACCTGTTAGGGTCCAAGCAATCCGTAAATAGTTAAACAGCAAACTGGTGTTAAAACACTATGAAAGTATGAACATTTTTATAGCAAAAACCAGCAATACATTTTCTTATTTTACAAAAATACCAGCAATAGGTTTTTTATTACATAAAATTTAAAAAAAAATACCGGCACTGCATTTTTGTAAAAGAAATTAATGCTAGCAAAAAAATTAAATTTCGGTATTAGATGACCCATAAGGATTTGATATCCTGCTAAACAAACAAAGACAAAAGAAATTATAAATTTCAGGGTAAAGGCGGAGATGTTAGCAGTATAATGTTGAAGGAGAATTCATAAGGAACAGGAACACCAATCCGAAACAGAGTAAAAGGCATGAACCTTTACTCTTTTTCAAGAGATCAGGGAGGATTTTGAAGCTAGACATAGGTTCATCTACTCATTAAAATTTGAAGTGGAAGTAACTCTTCTCTAAATGAAACAGTAATTTTATTTTTGTTTTAAACATCATTTCCTATTTGGTTCAAAAGTAGTAATGGCCAGTCTCCAACCTTCTTCAGCTGTGCAATCCATTTCTTTCATTTTGAAAATGTATCATTTAAAGACGTACGGGTGGTGCGTTAAATAGAAATGGCGAAGCGAGTTCAAATTCCGACTTAAGCTGCAGTGTCTACACTTGCTCTCCAGACTTGGATGATCGCCAGTCAAAGGGAATTCAAATCTCTCGATAAACTAACTGGAAACCACGCCCAAGAAGTCATGGCAGTTCACAGATAACAAAGAAAACGAACATGTCAAAAACATGATCGCTTCCAAAAATATAACATTAAAAAAAATATAATTCAAAGGATCTTTTCGATTTATTGAACCAGTACTTTGTACACTATTTACATTACTCGGACTATTGTCCTCATCATTGTTGCCATATTTATCACAACGTTTCGGCCGCTGTACGCTCCGGCCTTCTTCAGGTGGTTGGAATGTCGAACTGAATCCTTTATTTCGCTTGCTGGGGTAGACTGTACTAGTTCCACGTGCCATGTCTAATGGATGTCAATCATCAGTTATTTCCTGTTAATTCCCCTCCTCGAAATTCTCCATCGCCTTAACACGATATTAAACTCATACTCCTTGCTTCCTGTTGATCTAACTAATGCCTTTATCCACTGGCACAGTGGATCTAACTAACGCCTTTATGAACTGTGCCAGTGGATAAAGGCGTTAGTTAGTAGGGGGTCTTGCTCAACACTGTTTTGGAGCGTATATTTCAGTAGTTTTGTGTCCACAAAGCCAACCTTTCGTTTATACTGCAACTAAGATAACAGTTTCTGGGACGGAGTTCATGATCTGGCGTGGTCATTGATTGGACAAGGCAAATACATTCAAATCCTCGATCACGTTCAACAAAAGTAAGCAACCATCAATGAAAACAACTAAAGTTTGATCGATTTGTTTGTTTAACAGCACATCAGCACCTTATGGGTCATTTAATGATGAAATTTAATTTTCTTGGTGCACTGAAGTAATAAAAATATGATATATGTTATTCTGCTTTCACAATTGAATACATGGTAGATGATGCTCAACTTTTGTGCATATACCTGTTTGTGTGGGCATAATTACTAGAGGCGGCGATATGCGTGTTTTATGTTGCAGTTTTGTTGAAGTAATATTTTGGAATACAGTTTGATTTCTTTAAGAAATTGTAGGATATTATATGGATTAATGCCATGAAAGAATTGTTTCATATTTGTTTTTTTGGATGGTTGATTTTTTGGGGCAGCATATCAAACTCTTATTGGTTATTTAATGCTGAAATCTAAACATTTGAACACAATTTTATGGCTTCAGCTAAATATATTTTGAACGCAACTGTATGCCTTCAACTACCCATAAAATGTATTGTTAGTCATTTTGACTTAATTATTTATTGTTGGTAAATTTACTATAAATAGGTATCGTTGGTTGGTTCATTTTGTTTGGCGGCATATGAACCTATATGTGTTATTTAATGCTGATATCTAAATATTTTGTACGTAATTTTATGCTTTCAGTGTATAGGGATGTTTTTTTAGATATGTAGTTTATAGATCATAAAATGTATTGTTTGTAATTTTACTATAAAAATGCATAGTTGTCATCATACTGTAAAAATATATTTTATTTTTTTATAGTGTTTTATTGATTATCGTTTTGCTATAAAAATGTATTGTTGGTCATTTTATTATAAAAATGTACCGTTGATTTTTGTTTAGGCATTCATTATTTGTCCATAGCTGGGACCCTAACAGGTGCTACCACCCCAGGTCAGGGTGGACCTGGGAACAAGAACACTTAAGAGGAGGTTCCACCCTCCTCAAAACCTTCAATTTCTCGATCAGAGTTCTTGCTGCCAGATGTAGTTTATCGTCATACCCAGGACGAAACTGTAGTCTAAAATTCTGTATTTCTGAATGCATATAAAAAATATTGATCGTCATTATGTCGCCGTTAACACGTTCCTAGCATGATTTTCTGCGCCATTTTTTTCTACGTTATTGTTCAAGGCCCAAGGCAGAGAGTTACTGGTTGAGGTTGTTTTGTGGACGTAAGAAGAGGAGGTAGGTAGTTCAGATTTTGAGCATATGCAGCGTATAGCTAACTTAACGAGAGTAAAGTTTTAGTAATCGTGGAAGCATCATCTCATTCGACAAAGCAGCATTTATTATCAAGAAGCTATCCCAATGGAACTTTCTCCTTACAAATGAAATACGAAGGGAATAGAGATGATTCGACCCTGTGTATGGGGCATGACAGGTCCTAGTTGTGAATGACTGAGCTGGTAGAACTAAGGAATTCAATGATGTTGATGCTTATATATTTTAATGATGAATATACATGGTTAATATATAATTCATAATAAACGTTAGAA